CCGTTTTATCATTTATTAAGCTTTAATGTCGTGATAGAAAATAGGGTGAGAGATCCTTACTTGTTTCAGAGTCTGAAATCAGGTTCTCACTGCGCCTACGGGCAGTCTCTAGATTCCCTGAATTTTTCTCCGGGAACTGAAATACACTTCCGGTACCTGTACATATCCCCAAAAAAACCCAAAATCAGACCTAGGGCCCTTTCGGCCAATTTTGGAATTCCGGCACGGCGGCTCCACCGTGCTCTAACGATGGCGATTCGCCTCGGGTTGGCCGTTTCTGGCCGTTTTTGGCCGAATTCGGCCAAACTTGCATTGGTTCCTGTGATAAAACACTCCTAGGGCCTTCGGTGGGTCAACAAATTACAGAAAACTGAGGCTTACCGGCGGCGGGGCTCTCAGGTGCGGCGGCTCCTCCGGCGCGAGTTGCGGTTTGGTGTTTTGCTCCGATCAACCTGCAGAGAAAAGGACGGTGGTCACGGTGGTATAAAAATTACATCGAACGGGAACCGGGAAGGGCCTCATTGGAGGCAAAAATTGAGAAAACCCGCAGCGGCGCCGCTGGGCTTCGGCGGTGTTTTTCGGCCAATTGCCCGATGGTTTAGCTCCGATTTGGCCACAGGGAGGTTCAGCATCGAAAAACGAGCAAAGAGGAAAAATTTTACCTTGTTTGACGGCCAAAAAATCCTTCGGTGCGGCGGCGGCCGGTTCCTCCGGTGGCTGGGTCATCTTCTCCGGCGAAGGTTCTGGCGACTAGGGTTTTGGGGTTGGGTGTGGATGCGATTATTTATAATCCTCTCCTTTTAATCTGAGCCGTCCATTATGATTTAATATGCGTCGTCCGATCGCGATTAAATTGGAAATAAATCTGGGTCGTCCATCACGATGCGATTTGGGCCGTCCGTGCGTGATCAAATCTGAACCGTCCGCACGCATGAGATCTTGGCCGTCCACGCACGCCTTTGATCTGGGCCGTCCGATCGCGCGCACGCGGATCGCCCACGTGTCTCCGTCCCACATGACTTCCCGCGTCAGTGTCCCTGCCACGCGGCGTGTCCTGGTTGGCCGGGGCTGCTGACGTGACACTATTTTTCTAAATTGCGTTTTGACCCCCTGATTTTCGATTCTCTTTTCAAAAACACCCACAAAATTCAAATTTTTACCCATTTTTTTTAAATTCAATTTCAATTAAATTCCAAAAATAATTTTACCCCATTTTATTATTATTATTATTATTATTTCTATTAAATTAAATTAAAATCTTATAAATTAATTATTAAAATAAAATAAAATAAACAAAATTCTAAATTAAATTAAATTAAATTAAAATAAAAATAAAAATAAAAGAAAAATCTTTGGGTGTTACATAGGGTTTTAGTAAATAATGTCTATTTTCATCATTTTATTTCAATAAATAAATAAATAAAATAAATCTATTTTTTATTTTTTAAAAAATGAATTATATAATTTAATTACTATTTCAATACTAATATATTAAAAACCCTAATCAACCCCATACTTTAACTCATTGTCCTCTCTAGTATTTTAGAATTTTCAAAATTCAATGCATTGATTTATTTTTAACAATTGTAATATTTATAGACTTTGACATTATTAATTTAAACACAAACAAAAACTTTTTTAGAAATTTTTTTTTGAAAAGTTTATGTATTGACTGACTCCAATAAAATTTTCAGTTTCTTTGGTTTTTAAAAAAAGAAATAAATAAATAAAAACTTATTCTATACGTGCGCTTGCGCCTTCAAACTAAATAACTGTCAGAGAATGAATACTTTAGATTACGAAATTACTAAAAAAAAAAAAAAAAATGCATGAAACCTTACAATATTCAAATGTACTTTTGCCTAAATGAGAATCAAAACAATAACATCTAAGCAAAAACTAGAGATACTGTGTACAAAAATTAAGCAATATTAAAAGGCTGAACCTATAGATATATGACTGACTCTTGAGGAGAAATTCAATATGCTACGGCTGGTTCAATGGCATTATTCCCTACTGAAGAAGAAGATGATATAATAAACCTTAAATCCCCTTCGCTGATTACAAGTTGAAATTTCAACCATCATTTCTATATAGAACTTCTCTGAAGAGAAAAAAATCAACTCTGAATGCCACAATTCTCCGAAATGCAACAAATACACAACTATTACTTAAAAGTTATATATGAACTGCATAAACCATACTGGCTCTATCAATGAAGAATGAAGATGTGGAAAGTGACAATTAGATTTATCTGGTGTGCAAACAAACAGAAAACGGTCTAACCAGCAATCTTGTAGCTTGGATTGACTAGGTTATCCACGCCAGAAACTACTTGTATGGTTTCTATCACATCACCAACCTTGAGATCTGCCAGAAAATCCTCATTTTCTGTCACGTAACCAAATACGGCATAGCGACCATCCAATATATTGGCATTACTGGGAGTTAGTTCACTTTCTTTCAGCAGCCAAAATATCTGACTTGAGGCAGAATTATTCTCAAATTCCTGCAGAATAAAAGATTAAAAGGCAAATTCTTATCAGTCTTTAGATTAACGGAGATCCCATTTTTGCATATCCAAAAATGGAACTGAAAATTCTCACCTCTCTTGCCATTGCCATTGTTCCAAACGCATTAAATGGAAGCTTTGTCTGAGCCTTATATAGACCAAGCTCCTGTGTAAAACCATGAACTTTATGGTGAAAAAATTTTTTCAACTTTGAATCCAGGAACTTCTAACCACAATACATTAGTGACATGTTAGAAGAAAGGCAAGATTGCTAAATAGAAAAGCAAGAATAAGGGTTCACGTAATTACAGGACAAAATGATATGCAACCTTCCAGGGGGTAAAGAAAAAAACAACCAGCATTGGAAATTCCTTGTCGATATCCAACTAGAAATTTGGTCTTCTTTTTATAGAAAGGACTTTGGTTTATTTAGCTTCAAAGTTTGTTTTGTTGACATATTCTTATTCCATATTATATGCTTCATTAAACAAGTTAGAGAGAGTTCATTGAAACTTACTTCCAGAGTTGCTCCATAGAATGGTGTCTTCTCACCATTTACCATGATTTCTAATGGAATTGTCCTAGTTTTCTCTGTACTAGGATCAATAAAACCTTCTGCAGGACCTTCAGGATCTCCCGTTTGAACAACAAAACCATCAGCTGCAACTCAAGAAAATGTCTTAGAATTGCAATGTGATTAAATATTTAAAATTCTCTTAACCTGGTCTATCCAGAATAAACTGTACATGCCTATATTTTTGGTGATAAGAGTGACCCCAGAACAATTTTCGTCAGCCATTTAGAGAGATGCACTACATGGTCCCAAGGTAAGAGAGTTCTCAAGCCCACATTATATGATTAACCATTTTATTTCTCCAGCATTGCAAATATAGTAGATGTCTAATATTTCATTTACATGCGTGATAGTGAGACGACTGACAAAACTTGGTCAATGGGGGGCTTGTATCAATCAGAGAAACTAAGGGGAAAAAAGGAGCACTTTCAATATTGAAATAAAACCTAACCAACTTAAGATGTCTTACCCCTCTGGATTTCCATGCCATCATAGAAATGTCTTTGCACCAAGTCCACAAAATTCCCAGCAGTTACAGGAGCATTGTAACCATCCAGAACTATGCGAAATACACACTCATCAAGATTGGGATTATCTTTCACTTTCACCTTCATGTCCACGGTTGCTCTCCCCTTTAGAAGAGGCATATTCCTATATTCCTCTGGCACTTCATATGGGAAGCCATCCACCATGTCCTCTTCAACACTGCAGAAATCCAATGCCCCAGGAAGATCTCAGCTGCAGTCAATGACAAGATATAAATGAGAGAAGTTCATTTTAATAGGACTAACTTTCACAAGTCCTTCCCAATTCTTATGTTGAGACTAAGATGGTCCCTAAAGTAGCACTTTCACCAAAAGCCTCCCTTTCATAGCAAAAACTTTAAGGCTATGTTAGAAACAAATAAAAAAATTTTGTCAAATTTATTTGGAATCATACATTTAGTTAAACTAGGAAAAGAAAATTTCATCTCAAAAATTGAATTTATAAGAGAAATCCACCTAGTTAGAATGGTATCCCTCCTAAATCTCCAAACAAACTCTACAAAATTCTTGATCTGTTTCAAGCATAGACTTTAAAAGGACAGCATTTGCAATAATGTTTGGTCCCTATAGGCATAGGCAGAAATTGGTCTCTATAAATGTAATGGAGAACAATTGTACATGTCATTGTCTCTTGGAGAATAAGGAGTTTTGTTCAACACGTCAGGGACAAAGCCAATTTAATACAACAGGTAAACAAAAAAAAATTAGATAAAATAAGGATTTTTTACTAATGGCATAATGATGCTAGTAGCTTCAATGGAAGAATAACTTCAAGGATTATAGGGATCTCTAGCTAGTACGAGAAAAAATGCTACACTCCAATGGAAATCCAACAATATTACACACTCTCCTACCTAAAACTGGTGTAGGATAGTAAAATGGGAACATACTTTGAGCTTAAACTAGAGTTAAAGTTTAGGAATTAGAAGACACCACTAAAACACACACCAATCTAAAGTCCATACTAATAGCACCAGGAAATAGATTAAACTGACAACAAATTAAATAAAGCTAGCCGCCTCACAGAGATGGTCACTGAAATATGCACAACATCTAAAAAACAAATCAATCACCTAGGCTTTGAAAGAACTCATCAAGTTTTGAAAATTTTTCATTTCTCTCAAGAGGAAAGTAGGATATGTATTGATCTTGGCCACTGAAATACATTAATTCATCCATGCATGATTTTCAACTAAAGACTAAACTTTCTCAAAACAAGAAACCTAAAATACTCTAAATATAGATATCAACAATGATTTTTTTGAAAAAGAGAATGTTTCAAAAAATCATTCTTCTGAAAAGGAAAGGACCAATAAGCCAAGATACACAACTTAATACGGTATCCATGAAGCATGAACGATACTCATCTCTACTCTAAAAATCAGTTTCATATTTTGATCCATGTGTCAGCAAAAACTCGAGAAACAACAAGAACTCAAGCGATAAGATCTTTGATCTTATATTGACAAGTGATCTAACAAACTTAAGGTTGCAGAAGAGGAGATGGCTCCAGGCCGGATAGGTGGGCTTTGCATGGACCAAAAAATCATAACCTAATTTTCAGCATTCACATATGATTCTCTTCAAGTTTGTAATACTCACCCACTAACATATTGAAGCAGCTCTTTCTGTTTGGGGGCAACAGCATCTCTATTCCTACCCTCCACAATCTGTTGTAGTTCATCCATTCCAGCTTCCAGCTTGTCTAGCAGTTCCACTCCATGGTCCTTCTTTGATTCAGCTAAACCCGATAAAATTAAACTTTTTCCTTGCTTGAGAGTTCGTGATGCTTGCCTCACATTCTTCATAAGAAAAGTTAAGTCTCTTTTACTATCAATGCAGGACATCTATGAACCAGCAATAACTAATCTATGACAAGAATTGCAACGTTGGAAATAGATAGAAAGTCATAAAGTCCTTACCCTCTCAACAGAATCAAGAGCCTTGACTCCAGCAACCTTGAGGCTCTCTGTGATGTCTTCAAGAGGTTTCTGTACTTCCCTAATAGCCTTGTTGTCAATAGGCAAAGCATATCTTAACAATGCTCCAGGGTCTTTAATTGGTGGGCCAGAGATTAACACCGAAATATCAGTTACAACTGGGTTTGCTGCATATGCAGTAGAAGACCAATCTACCGAAGGCATTCCGGTAATCAAGCCAACCGCCAAAGCTATAGAAAGTGCACATTCTTTCAAAGAAAATGGCCTCCGTTTCTGCCCAAAAAGTATGCTGATATTAGGTCTTTCACCCATAATTTAAGCAGCTGAACAAAAATTCCATGAAAAAGAACTAGTCTAAAACTCAAACTTTACTACCACACATATATTTGTTTACACTGAAAGGCCACAAGAGCAACTGTTTTCCTTTCCATCCAATATATCAATGTCACTAAGCAAATGTAATGGAAACGAAAAATAGCACTTAATGCACAAAGAACTCATCATACCAAAATAATTCAAAGCAAGGCTCTTTAAATAAATGAGACCCAACAAATGGGAAGATGTAACTCCATTTGTTTGTGAGACTAATTTGAGTAAGGAGAGTGAGTAAAGTAAGATAGAGCATGAATGATAACTAAGATAGAGCATGAATGATAACAAGTTGGTAGTTATTAAAAGAGTTAAGACAGAATCTGTGTTTATAGATCACTTAAATTATTCTCTTCATCCTCAATTATCCAACCCAAATTAAACATTGAGAGGTTTCATAATTTATTTAATTAGAACTCTTTGTTTACTCGACTCTACTTTCTCTCACTTTCCTTTTAACGCCCGAACTTTACTTTCCTTGCCAAGTCCCAAACATAATGTTAATTCCATATTACACCACCTCAACAATCCAAGAATTGAAATGCAGCAGAAATTCAACGTCAAGCAAGCATGACGAAAAGAAAAGGAGAAATAGATGAACAAGTCACCTGTTCAGATTGGAGCTGACACTGATGACGATGGCGATGCTGACTTTTCAAAGAGCAACGTGGAGTGAAGTGCTGAGTCAACCAAGCATTGTTTCTGTTAACGGGTAATTTTTGGAAGTTGATGAATTTGGAGGTGGGTAGAGAAGTAGAACAATGACAGGAGATAAAAGCGGCCATGGAGGGTCAAGTAAAGAGTAAAGAAAGCAAAAAAGCGAAAGATATCACAAAATCAAATAAAATGACATTTAGGGTCTGGTTCGGAAAAGAAAAAACTGTGAATCTGCCTGTGACTTTGAGTTTGGATGAAGAAGATGGAGGGGAGTTGAGTAGATAAGGTTTTCAAGTACGTTCCAGCTAAGCCATGAACATGATACAGGTCCTCACAATCAAGATAAGATAAACCCATTTCCTGGTTTCTGGGACCCCAAGATAACGGGTCGGGTATCTGGTGTCCAGACTTGATTTTAACTGGGTCGGGTTGACCCGGTGTCTGAGGGATCAGGTCAGGAGAAAATTTTGTATGGGTAAGCTTATTTTTTAGCTTGTGTTATTCAATTATGCACTAATTAATATGATTTATGGCATGCAATTTGATTTAATTATTTATGAGCATTAATTTCAAAATAATTAATATATAATTGTATATTATTTTCTAACCATTGTATGTATAATAGTTATTAAAATAATGCATATTATCATATATTTATTTATTTATTTATTTAGAAAAGTGTATATTCAAATTTATGATTATTAATATATAATTTATTTCACATAATTACAGTAAATATATTTCAATAAACCAAAAAAAAAAACAAAAAACAAAAGGCAGAGAAAATTAGTTAACGAGAATGTTCTAAAATTTTTCTTAGTCTACATTAACTTTTCAATTTAAGAATTAATTAATTAAAAAAAAATCTATAAATGGAACCTTGAAACACTACTTTCTATGTTGCATTTTATTTAAAAATGTTTTATTATTATTAGTTTGTATTTCTCTCGAAAAATCATGTGTCTTTATTATATTGTATTTTTAGTTAGAAATAAAATTATATATTATATTTTTAAATATAATTATAGTTTACTGACTCGAAATAAGATGTCAAGTAATTTAATTCAAATTAGACAGATGATACAATTTTTTTTTTTTTTCAAAATATGGTATAAAAAAATATATCGTAGTAGTATTATGAATGGATTGTTAAATTCTTTTTATGTTTTAAATTAAAATAAATTATATTTTTGTTGTTGTTTATTTGGTAGGATTTTTCTATTTGGAACCATTAAAATACTAATATTTCTTTCCCCACCCATTCTGTAGTTTCGGTTACTCATCTTTTGCCTTGTGAAATCTTAACAAATTCTTCGGCTAACTTGAAACATAGTGAATGCATCACATTCACAGCCCACAAGGTTGGTTGAGAAAAGAAATTTAATTTTAAAATAATTCATTTTCAGTCATTTTAATTAAAAATTTACTGTCATATAAATGTTGTAGAAAACATTTGTGCTTGATAAAATGTAAGAATACCACTGTAATACAAATTGATATAATAATGTTGAAGTTTTTTTTTTTTTTTTTTTTTTTTAAATGTATGTACTTGATATATAACTGAGAATTAATAAATTATTTTCGTTTTTTTAATAGAGCGAATAGTGTGATGGGTTATAAGTATTGAATTTTTTCCAAATATATAACCTTAAGGTGAGTTTCGGCATATGTATCAAACTATTAATTTAATGAACCTGTTTAAAAATAATAAAATACGGTTAAATAGTATTAGACCTTACGGCATCAAGTTTAATTAGGGGTTTCAAAAAATGTAGATACTATTTTTAAAAAATTCTCATTTTATTAA